CATAAAGTATATAGTAGTACAAATACAAGATTACAACGGTCTTTTGTTCAAATACTAATCTTATATTAATTTGATTTAAGACAGTTACTAAGGTACACGTATTTATTTTAGTAAGATTGAGCGCACTTCAGTAATAGCGCCATCTATTATTTTGTATAGGTAAAATCATTTTATCTAACAAACATTGATTGACTCTCAAGGTGGTACGTAGAGTAGATGCTAGATGGCATAAACCTAAAAAAACTTCTTATTTTTTAAAAACGTAACCTCGACACTAGGATTTTCTCCTGTATCATGATATATATAGGCATAGGCAATTTACATACATAAATTGTACAAGAACAAACATCCAGACCCGGAACAATTATTTGTAAGCCATACAATACCTGTATCGTGCGGGATTCGAACCCGCGGTATTTAGCGTTGTAATTCAAAGCTGCTGTGCCACGGAGACGTCAAATTTTATTATTTAGTTTTATTTAAAACATCAATTTGTAAATTTTTATTTAAATATTTTTGTTGATATAACTTAAAACTGTGGTTTAATAAAAATAAAATTATTTAAATAATAGACACTTACCTAATTAACAAACTAAACCGATAATATTTCTAGAAGATAATGCACTGTAACACATATGCATAAATAATTAGATGCAAATAAATTAATGATATACGTAATCTACGTTATTCAAAAATCATTGATGAATAATTTAAATGTTTCCCTGTAATATAAAAGTTTCACTTCTGTCGTGTATCACCACGACACACACTGTTCATAGTCTTTATACGAAAAGGTTGCTGCACATACCTGATTTGTTTCCTTATATCGCCTTTTACGACACCCACGGGATGATAATCGGGTAGTGGATAAAATTACGCTCATTCTATCCTCATATATTTCTATAATTTTGTTAGGTACCTATTTTTTTTTCAAACTGAGACGTGGGATCAGAGTTTGATTTCAAAGTTTATGATTAAAGTGTATTCTTAAGAAGTAAACACAATTTATATATATTTATAGAAAATTATTTCAGTTAGTTTATTTATTAACAATTATTTAAGTTGGCGATTTTCCTTCATGCATATCTAGGCTTAGGACTAGCAGAAAAGTTTTAATTTCGAATTCCACAAAATACAAAATAGGCAACGCCTATTGCACAATAAAGAAAGTTAATCATAAAATAGTAGGTACTAGAGAGATAAAACTTTTCTGGTGCATTTAAAAATCACCGTATTTACAAATAATATACCTATAAACGAGTACATAAAAGTATGTATATATATATATATATATATATATATATATATAAATTTACCTTCTTATATTGTAGCTGCTACAATATAAGAAGGTTAAATTTGACAGTATGTTAATTATCGTAATAGCTCAAGTGGATATCGAGCGGTCTTGAAATCTTAATGCCTTGGTTCGCATCCTGTTTTCGGTCCGGTTTTTTTTTCTTTTTTTTTCAAGCACCCTTCTTTTGTGAAAAAATCTATTATTTAGAGCTGTTTTTTAGTATTTTTTAAAAATACGAAAATTTTAATTCATCTAATTGCACTCATGATTTTTATTCAAATAACCAGTTCAGTTTTTTCCGTTATGTCAATAAGAACAAAAATTATTATTTATGTTTCATCAGTATGTAATTTGTATCTAAATCTAATGTAATTTCAAAAAAACCGAGCAAAGCTCGGTCATTCGGGTACTTACAAATAATAACACAAGGTTTAAAAATATTTACAGGTACCAATCAACATTTTTCCTTTCAATTTTTTTATTTTCAATTTTTATTTATCAAATCGTTTCTTATTAAGATTTTCATTTAAAAATGTAATTTCCTCAACGTTGTTCGGCTTGAGACGATACCTTTTTCCGTTGATGAACAACCCTGTTTTAGAAAATAAGCGTTCGTAAGGAATTGATGTCGCCACAATGTTGCACTTCATGCGTGACATTTCAGACAAATGTGGGTAAATTATTCTGTGGTCTCGCCACTACTGCGATGGACTGTTCCATTTGCCTTCCAAATTTTTCCGCGGCAGTATCTCATCATCATTATACATTTGCAATTCTCTTATAACCCTCGCTAGAGCGTTGCCTTGCGGCTTACTTTTATTTATAAGTCATCAAGTTTTATCCATGTGCTAACAACTGAAGAACTTGTTTCTCCAACTTCATGAGTTGTACTGTCTGTGGATGAGTCCCGTGTTATTATGCCTATTATTAATGACTCCACCTGTCATTTTAAATCTGTTACTGCACATTCATTTTTAAATAGTAATAATTTAAATCGTTGGTCTAACAAAGTACAGAGCCCAAAGGTTTTACTGTGCTCTACGCCAACAAATCTTTCTTTCTGCCTATTTTTTAAGGAAGTGACAATAATTTATTTTGTTGTAGGATTTAATAGCGCAAACTCTTCTTTGTTTAAAAAGTCATCACATATTTCTGTGAGACCGTTAGACATAACTATTAAGTACCACACTTCCTGTTAGATATTCATCACCGCTGATAGATGAAGTGACTTATTCAAAGGGCTGTAAGACTGTACACACTTCCCCCATTAACTCCTATTCCATTGTATTAATATTAGGCCAGTCTCTCTCAATAAGGCCCATGCATTGTTTTAAGGCCTCTTTTAATAAAAGGAATCGGCGTTACATGAAAAATGTGGAGTTCCATCTTGTTGGCACTTGTTGAAATAAGCGTTTCGGTTCACCACATTCCGTCATGTTTTTTAATTGATACTCAAGAAAAGCATATCAGTAGCAGTAGTGCAGTAGTACTTTAAACGAATAAAGTGAGCCAGTATTTTTTTAACGTTCTCTACTAATAGTTCTATTGGCCTTAGTGCTTACTGAACTATTAAATTGAGTGAATGAGCAAAACACCCTGATACTGATTCCATTCTAAATCAGTTTCAATTGCTTTTACAATATTTCGAGCGTTATCTGAAATAGCGAAATTAACCTTTTTGGTCAAATCCCACTCGTCAGTCACATTTTTAACGCTTTCGTTAAACTAGCGCTAGTATGGCTTTCATTAAAGTTTTTGCATCCCAGCAATATTTTTTGGGATTCAAAATTGTCGTCAATATAGTGCGCTGTTACGCCAATATAACTTACTGTCTTTGACGAGGTCCAAAGGTCTGTTGTCAAGCACACTGACTTTGCTTTCCGAGAAACTATTTATCTGCACAGCTGGAATCATACCAGAGCCAATGATCTTCCTACATGGCAACGTGTACCCCGGAATATGCTTGAAAAAAAATTTTGAATTCTTTATTTTCTACTAGTCGAAAAGGCTAATACTTAGTCGGTTATAAATAATTCCAATAGATCACGATCAACCCTTTTTTTATCTGGAGTCATTTTTTTATAATATAGTTCTGCATTGCTTTTTGCCTTTTGCGTGACACTTGAGGCAACTCTATTAGTCGCAGGTTTACCTGATTTGTACTAGCCGCTGATTCAGCTCCGATGGAAGAAGTGGTCGTTGCCGATGCATTCGCTATGGCAGATGTACTTGGAAGTACCAAATTTTGTTCATTAACAGTTCCTGGAATAGTGGTTCTTTGCGCCAAATAAATTGAAGTATGTGTTCTCTTCAAATGAGAACTTAAGTTTCCTGCAGTTGATTTATACGATAGTGTTAATTGACAATATTTACAGATAACAACGTACACGGCATTGTCTTTTTATCGAAGTGAGACCATATTTCACTAGCCTTACGCGACATTTTGAAAGTCTACCGATATACAAAAAAAATAAGTCTAAAAAACAACTTAAACTATACTATGCTATATTGTATTTACACTTTACATATAATTGTACGAATTACAACTACCTAATGCACAAAATGCACACAAATATTGCAAATAAATGCACAAACGCAACGTCAAAAATTAATAACATAATGGATGTTATTATCTTGCGAACGGCACGAGCACGAGCCCCCAAGACACTTGGTCTTAATTGTAGCGTAATTGTAGCGTTTTAAAAAAAGGAAATTCTAAACTTTCCATCCAAAATATAAAAAATATGAACATAAAGTTGCCTAAACCAAATATAATATGATCATACAAATGCAAGTCTTGTGTCTATTGTTCTAAAGATCATTTAAATTTGACAATTCTAACAACTACACAAACTTAAAAATTGGGCAATTTTAACCATTTGAAATTCCACCTTATTACTTTACGTAAATATATCTAGATGTGCATTGTGTACCGTGTGAAACTAAAACTACCAAAACATCAGACATCCTCTCTTTCTATACGTATTTATGATACCGTCGCAAGAACAAGAAACAATGAATATCAACGAAGGACATCGCATCGGTTAGTTCGTGGGCCGTGTTGGCATTTAACGTTTTACAAATCTAAGCCTAATGAGCTAAAGATCATTTGAAATTTGATAATACTCACAACTACGCAAACTTTTTATTTAGGCTATTTTACTATTTAAAAATCGTCCTTATTGCTTTAGCTATATACCATATTTCGCAATGTGCACCGTTGTGTGATATCTACCAAAACATCGAAACGATATCCATATTCGCTTCATCTCTTTCTATACTTATTTAAACTATCGGTGCAAGAACGAGAAGCGACGAATATCAACGAAGGTCATCGGTTAATGGGCCGTTTTCCGTTTTGGGAGATCGTTCCACAGTTTGCGTTATGCGTTTCGGTTTCGTTGTCGTACGTTGGTTAGGTATCTATATGGTTTTGGTTGATATGTGATAACGGTTTTGTACTTAGGTTTGTCGATATGATATGATATTTGATAACATAACGTTATTAGTTACGTTTTGATATATCGGTCTCATGCCTACAAAACAGTCAGTGTCAAAGTCAAACTTATTCACAAAAAAAGAACGCGGGAACCTTGAAACGTGATAGGCGCCTTTTTTAAAATAAAATTTTAATTTTGTTTTGTTTTGTTTAGTTAAAAGGCACCAAACTTTTATTGTTTTATCGTTATTGGGTTTCCTCATCATGGGGAAACGTAGGAAAAAAAAGTTGCCGGGAGAAGAAGTATTTGAAGAAACGACTGAGGAGGAAGAAGTTGACACCAGTACTGAGGAAGATTCTGAGAAAGAGCAGCGCAAGTATAAGCCGTGCGTTGTATCTGACTACAACAGGAGGTACCCTGAGGACTCTGTCCTCGTTGATTTTGTTGTCTGTCGAATCAAATGATGAAAGAAGGCCAATCGGCACGCGAGACATGTCTCTGTCCACACATATGAAGAGGTTCAATAAAGGCATTAAATATTTGCAATCTATGAATAAATACAAAATAGGCGTTCATTTTGAAAAGCCCTCTCTAGCGAATGCATTTTTAAATAACGTTACATTTATTAATGAATACAAAATAAAGGCATCTATCCCAGCTGTAGGGACAGAAATAACAGGAATCATAACTAATGTTCCCACTAATCTTTCTAATTCAAGAATTTTTGGTATGTTAACGACTTACAGGAAGATAATATGTGTTAAAAGGATAATGAGGAAACTTAAGAATGATGCAGGACGCAGTTTGATACAGCCGACGGACACCGTGGCCATCACGTTCGCTTTCAATGTTTTGCCGGACCACGTCGATCTTCATGGTTGGCGGTTCGTGGTAAATCAATATATTACACCAGTGAAGCAGTGCTACAACTGTCTGAGGTATGGCCACTTAGCAAAGTACTATAAAAATTCTGTGAAATGCTCAATTTGTACTGAAAATCACAGCTACAAAGATTGTCAAGTCTCTTCAGATAAAGCAATATGTATACATTGCAAAGGAAATCGTCTAAGCATTTCTGGAGAGTGTCCTGTCAAGAAACAAAAGATAAAAGAAAATCAGGCTAAATTACATAAAACCCCGTTTGTAGATCTTTTTAATAAAAACTATTTCCCCGAATTAAACAAAAAAATCCTAAAGATGCTCTTATGTCACTGCTAAAGAATGATGACATTATTAATATAATTTTAAATACAGTCATTAAAATTAACTTAATTAACATTAACTCTTAATAAATCAAACGAACAAACCACAATATCTTCTCAGCTTGTTAATGATGTTCTCATAGATACAATGAAACCAAAATAGATATTTCATTATTTAGCATTTAATATTTTATGGATCAGTTTAACATTTTACAATGGAATGCACAGAGTTTAATTAAAAAATTGCTTTCAATTTACACAATTTTTATATGAGAACACTATAGACGTTGCTCTTATATGTGAAACTTGGCTTAAACCTAGGCACAATTTTAGAATAAAAGGTTATATTATACGATTAGATTCAGGTAATGATCATAATGGAGTAGCAATACTTCTACAAAACAAAATTGGAATTCGTGTTAACAATACATTCTCTGATGATGCATTACAAAATATAGCTGTACAAATACAATATAATGATAAATTATTAACTTTAGTTAGTGTTTACTGCTTTTGTTTTCTAATTCATCAATTAATTACAATAAATTCAAATTAGATAATTTAATCCAAAAATTTCCATAGCCAGTCTTTATAGCTGGTGATTTCAAAGCCCATCACACGTTATGGGAATGTAGTGAATTGGATTCACGAGGCAGGGACGTTTTTGTAAGTATAGACGACAACAATCTTATAATCTTGAATGACGGTCAGATGACTACAGTAGAATCTCACAGATGGAGGCAGAATGCATCAGACTTGACACTTGTCTCATCTTCACTGGCTCTGTCTTGTGAGTGGCAAGTTGTGATGATGATTCTCTAGGCAGCTATCATTTTCCTGTAAAGACAAAAATTACGATCAATAATCAAAATTTTCAAGAAACAGCTGTATCAAATAACATAAACTTAAAATTGGTAGATTGGTCAAAATATCCAAAATTAATAGATTAAATTATCTATTAATATTAGATATATTGATCAATCTTCCAAACTAAAAATTATAGTTTTGATTATAGCAACCCATTACAATGTTATACAGATTTAATAGAACTAGTTAAACAAGCCATACATGAATCCACACCATCCAATCAGTCTTCTAATCGAAATGTTAACATCAACTTGCAATCTCTTAAAATAAATAAAAAAAATCTCTACCTTGGTGGAATTTAAAATGCAAAGAGGCAGTATTAAATTGTAAAAATGCATATTTAGTATTTAAGAATGATCTCACAGAATGAAATTATATTAATTTTAAAAGACTACAAGCTGATAAAAAATTACTTTGAAGAATGAAAGACAGCTCAGCTGGAAAGCACTATGTGAAACTTTTAATAGATCTACTCCATTGACTAGAGTATGGAATTACATTAAAAAGTTTAACAAAAATTTTGTACATAATGTTGCATGAATAAGTCAACTAGCGCCATCTAGTGTCAGGAACGAGAGCGAGGGGAGCATTGAGAAAATGACATCACAAATCGCTCAACTGACAGCGCCTAGTCGAAACTCGAACGCTCGATACCTTCCGCGTGTTTACTTGAACATTCTGGATATTTCTTTGCTAATTCAAATATATAGGCGCTGCAAGATGCGATCGAGGCAGTGTTGATTTGGGCGAAACAAGCGAAGCTTCGGAGTGGAATTAAGTGAATTAATGTGTTTAAATTATTAGTGTTTTAACTTTAATTGTGTAAAGTAAATTAAAGTGTTAATTTAGGTAATTTTATCGGCAATTTTTATTGTCACGAACCTCAAGCTCGTAACAATTGGTGTCAGAAGTGGGATTAAATCATGCCGATTTTACCTAAGGAGGAAACGGAGGGTGTCCGTACCCGAAGTCAACGCCAGCAGGAGACGGACCAGAGGAGGTTTGGTGGTGCAACGCCGCAGACGTCGGAGGGCCAACAGCTAGCCACGGAGACTGCGGGCCCGTCAGTAGCTCCTACATCTGCAGCACCTGACTTAGGTGCTCTGATGGCCATGCTACAGGAGCAGCTGCAGCGCGGACGAGAGGAACAGGCCCGTCTGTTGAAAGAGCAGCAGGAGGAACAGGCTCGCCAGCAGGCGGAACAGGCCCGTCTGTTGAAAGAGCAGCAGGCGGAACAGGCACGCCGATTGGAAGAGCAGCTGCGGGACGGACAGGAGGAACAGGCCCGTCGGTTGGAAGAGCAGATGCTCCTCATGAAGGACCTTCACGCTACCTTCGGGAAGGAGATAAAGGAGGTGAAGGATAGGGTTGCTCAGCATGACAACCGCCTGTCGGAAGCCGAAACCCAAATCGTGAAAGCTGAAAACCGAATCGAGAAAGCTGAAACCCGAATCGACCAAGTAAACAATCGGGTTGACAACGTAGTGGCTGACATGAAGAAATCACTAAACGACCTCAAACTTGGGGATGGAACTACAGCTCCCGTAGTAGCTGCAGCACCTTCGCTACGTGGATTCAAAGTGCCGCCGTTCGACGGGACCTCTTCCTGGTCGGCCTACAAAATCCAGTTCGAGGCCGTCATGGAGGCCAACGGCTGGAATAAAAGCCAAGCCATGACTGCACTCACCCTAGGCCTGCGTGACCAAGCCTTAACTGTGTTGGAAGCTCTCGGTAAGAAAGTGACCTATGAGCAGCTTCTTGAGGCCTTGGAAGCGAGATATGGCGACGCTCATCTGGAACACGTCTTTCGCGCGCAGCTTAAAGATCGCGTGCAGCGCAGCAACGAGAACCTGCAGCAGTGGGCCCTTGAGGTGGAGAAGATGGTTCGAAAAGCATACCGGTCTGTACCTGCGCTCATTGAAGGGAACCTGGTGCAGACATTCATCGACGGCATCCGCGACCTGGAAGTCAGAGCTGCTGTGAGGCTCGGGCACCACGAGACGCTTAAGGACGCCTTGGCCCATGCACTGGAAGTGGAAGCCGTGCGGCAGGATCATCGTTCCCATCGCGTCAGGGAGGTTGCAGCAGCTACAGTTCGCGACCGCAACAAAGGATACAGCCCAAGGTGCTATGGCTGTGGGGAAAAGGGCCATCTTCGATCCAGCTGCCCTAAGCGAACCCTAGAAAGGGAAATTGAACGATCTCAGGAGGGTAGTGCGGCCAACAGCACCGCCCAGCAGCGGCAGGGAAACGAGTAAAAGCCAGAACTGCGGGGCGGGTGCTGGCTGATGTTAAAAGAGCCCCAAGGATCTCGATCTCACAAACCCATGATGGGAACAGCCTAATCATAAAGGGCGAGATCAACGGAATGCCGTGTAAGCTGACCATAGACACTGGAGCCTCTCGTACGGTTGTTAGTTCCCAACTTATAAGTCAGTTCCTTGGGGACTCCGCATACAACCGAGAACGCCTTAATTTGGTAACAGCCACCGGTCAGCGTATACCCGTCCGTGGAGAGAAGGAGATGGAGTTGAAGCTAGGCAACGTGATCTACCTGCATAATGTCATCGTGGCTGATATAATGGACGACTGCATCCTAGGCTTAGACTTTATGAGGAATAATTGTTGCGAGATCGACGTTAAGCAAGGTGTTTTGAAATGTGGACAGGAGGAACTTTTTATGGAAGGTGCGTTACCAGGGAACGTGTACAGCATCAAGAAGATTGTTCTTCCGCCGAGATCGGAAACGATTGTTCCGGTTAGTCTTCCTCGAAACGCTGGGCAAGCTCACCGTTGTGTACTTGTGGAAAGGGTAAACGATGACCTTCCATGGAAAGTAGCTCGAACCTTGGTCAGGACCACTAACATCTCAGGAGTACGTGTGCTGAACCTTTGCGACCGGGAACAGATTATAGAAAAAGGCACACTGGTTGGTACTTGTGAGGAAGTGGATTGGTTACGTCAGTGCCAATATATATCGAGTGGGACCCCCAGCAAGGATTCAGAAACGAGAGTGACCACACTTTTGGAAGACTGTCGCAGTGTTCTGTCCCCGAACGAATTGGTCAAGGCGAAGAAGTTGTTACTCAAGTACGCCGATGTATTCTCATCAAATGATGCTGACATAGGAAAGACTGGCCTAGTTCAACACAAAATAAACACAGGAGAGGAATTGCCTATCCGTCAGCGGCCAAGAAGATTGCCGGTAGCACGTGAAAAGGAAGTGGAAACCATGATTGAAGGAATGGTGAAGGATGGTGTTATTGAACCTTCCTCTAGTCCATGGTGTTCACCAGTGGTGCTGGTGAAAAAGAAGGATGGCAGCATGCGGTTCTGTGTTGATTACCGCCGTCTGAACGACGTTACAAAGAAGGACAGCTATCCCTTGCCAAGAATTGATGACACGCTGGACATGCTTACAGGAGTAAAATGGTTTAGCACGCTGGATCTAAAAAGTGGCTACTGGCAAGTTGAAATTGACCCTAAGGACAAGGAGAAAACTGCGTTCTCGACGGGAAAGGGTCTGTGGCAATTCAAAGTAATGCCGTTTGGGTTGTGCAATGCTCCAGCAACGTTTGAAAGGCTGATGGAACTTGTACTTACCGGGCTAATTGGCGATGCCTGTCTGGTCTACTTGGATGACATCATCATCGTGGGCCGTACGTTTGAGGAACACCTTCAAAACCTGGAACGCGTGCTCATGAAGATTCAGAGTGCCAACCTCAAGCTGAGCCCGAAGAAATGTTCACTATTTCAACGGCAAGTTAACTTTTTGGGGTTTGTAGTATCGGAAGAAGGTATCCGCACAGATCCAGAGAAAATCGCCGCTGTCAAGGATTGGCCGGTTCCAAAAGACAAGACGCAGGTTAGAGCATTTTTGGGTTTGTGCTCCTATTACCGGCGATTCGTGAAGAACTTTGCAGATATAGCCAAACCTCTGCACAAGCTAACCGAGGAGAAGCGACATTTCTGCTGGGATGAAAGTTGCAATATCGCATTCCAGGAGCTCAAGGACCGTCTGTGCAAAACACCTATTTTGGGATACCCTGATGCAAGCAAAGAATTTATAGTTGACACAGACGCAAGTGATATAGGACTCGGCGGTGTGTTGTCTCAACGGAATGGTGACCAAGAGGTCGTGATAGCGTACTTCAGCAAGTCGTTGTCAAAACCGGAAAGGAACTACTGTGTCACAAGACGCGAATTGCTAGCTGTGGTAAAGTCGTTGCAACATTTTAGCAAATATCTTCTGGGACGAAAATTTCACTTACGAACTGACCATGCTGCACTAAAATGGCTATTGCAGTTTAAAAACCCAGAAGGACAAGTTGCGAGGTGGATTGAACTACTGCAGGAATACGACTTTGAGATCGAACATCGCAGCGGGAAATCTCATGGCAACGCAGATGCATTGTCAAGAAGACCTTGTCCTGAAGATTGCAAACATTGTACTAGGCAAGAGAGTAAGGAAGTGGTATCCGTGAGGATGCTCAGGGCAGACCACCTCAGCAACGAGTGGAAGGACAGCTTACTACATGCACAGCAGGAAGATCCGGACATCAAGCCGATTCTGGAATGGATAAAGGCCAGTGCTCCCAAGCCCAAGTGGAGTGACGTCTCAGCGATGAGTTCGACCACTAAAAGCTATTGGGCCCAGTGGGACAGCTTGCTGCTTCAGGATGGAGTTCTGTGTCGTAAATGGGAAAACGTTCGGGGAGACAGCTGTCATTTGCAAATGGTTGTCCCTAAAGTTAAAGTACCGGATGTTCTACAGCTGTACCATAATGATTGTTCAGGAGGCCATCTGGGAGTTAAACGAACTCTACTGAAGATCCGAGAACGGTTTTACTGGGTCCACTGTCGAAACGATGTCGAGGACTGGTGTCGCAAATGTACAAGTTGTGCGGCTGTAAAGGGACCTCAGACTCGTAGTAGAGGTGCATTGAAGTTGTACAATGTTGGTGCACCATGGGAGAGAATAGCCATTGACGTGGCGGGGCCGTTTCCGGAGAGTGAAAGCGGTAACAAGTATTTCATGGTTGTGATGGATTACTTCACTAAGTGGCCAGAAGTCTTCGCCATTCCAAATCAAGAAGCTTCAACAGTTGCAGATAAACTAGTTCATGAAGTCTTCTGTCGTTTTGGAGTACCTTTAGAGATTCACAGCGATCAAGGAAGGAATTTTGAGTCTCAAATATTCCAGGAAACTTGCCGAGTTATGGGTACTCATAAAACAAGAACGACTTCTTATCACCCGCAATCTGATGGAATGGTGGAACGATTTAATCAGACATTGGAGAGG